AAAAAAAAAAAAAATTAGCTGCCTTGTTCAGATCTGACGGTTCTTGTTTTCCTTTGTTTTTTCCCCTTTTGCCGATCGGTGGTGCAGTATGCTCTCTATTTCGTATACCTTGGATTGGTTGTGTGCTTTTCGTCCTATGCAGGTGAGTACAATTTTGTTGTATTAACATGTGATTAAGATATAAACTTGGTGTCATTAATAAGTTTTGTTAATTAATTGTGCTCACTACGGATCAGTCGCACGTGGTCCGCGGACTGTTCTTTGTCTTCATCCTCTTCACCGGTCAATTTTCTTCAATAATATTTTCTCTGTTATTTTTACATAAAACTCCATTTACATCTCCATCAAAATGATGGGCCTTTAGAATTTCACGTTTCTTTCACTCCTTCTCCTTTTTGGGTCAAATTCATTTTCATTTACTCTACTTTTTTTTTTTTCACATACTTGTGCCAAAACAGAGATTTGAATAACAATTTCTTTCACTTCATCCTCTTGCTTTTCTCCTTTTTGACCAAACAAAGGGAAATGCTACGGTCCCGTTACAAAACCATCACGTCCGGTGTTTTAACTGTTGGATACACATGTAGTTAGTATAAGATAGATGATCTAACGGTTAAAACACCCGACGGGATGATTTCGTAACGGGACCATAGCATTTCCCCCAAACTTATTTTCATTTGTTTTACATCCCACTTATTTCCATCATTCTTGGTTGAAAATTTGACCCATTTTGTTCATACATTTGTTCAAAAACAGAGATTGCATGTTGGATGTACAGTGGGGAGAGGCAAGTGGGAGCATTGAGGAAAAGATATTTAGAGGCTGTTTTGAAACAGGACGTGGGCTTTTTTGATACAGATGCAAGAACTGGGGATATCGTGTTTAGTGTCTCTACAGATACCTTGCTTGTTCAAGATGCCATTAGTGAGAAGGTTAAATAAATATATATTTTTATTTTATTTTTGTTTTTTATTTTAGTTCTTGTGAGAGTGCACTCTCATTTTGCTTCATTTACTGAGCATTGATTACCGGCTTGTGATCATTTAAGACATATTTACTTACTGTGTCTTCTAACGGTAAGTAAATCCTTTGCATTAAAGACAGCAATGGGTTTGCTTTTCTGAAAGATTCTAATATATTTTTTTACGTTAGCTGCTTTTTAATTTTTTGCTTTTTGCATTTGATGAAATTTTTTGTGCTTGGGCTTGTATAGGTTGGTAACTTTATCCATTATCTTTCGACGTTTTTGGCGGGGTTGGTGGTCGGTTTTGTGTCGGCATGGAGGCTAGCGCTACTCAGTGTGGCCGTTATTCCTGGAATAGCTTTTGCCGGTGGGTTATATGCGTATACGTTAACTGGGCTCACCTCCAAGAGCCGTGAATCGTATGCAAGTGCTGGTATAATTGCCGAGCAGGTGAGCTTTTCGGGGAAAAAGAAGACAAAAAAAGATAGAATTTTTTTTATTATGATTTAATGAAGCTTTTCTTACTGTATGTGGATGATTTTTCTGCTTAAGAGATCTTAGTTTAGAGGGAAAGTTTAACTATAGCCTAACCGAGCCCTTGTTATATGCCACTAATATGGATTGCCAGTTGAAAATGTGATCCAAAATGCATAAAGATTCGAAAAAGTAGCGATCGGACTTCAAAACTTCACTGTTAATTTCATAAATCACCCTTCTAGTAAAGCTAATGCTCAGTTCTATTAATTAATGCAGTCGATTGCCCAAGTTAGGACAGTTTACTCGTACGTTGGTGAGAGCAAAGCCCTGAGTGCTTATTCAGATTTAATTCAAAACACACTAAAGCTGGGGTACAAAGCTGGAATGGCTAAAGGACTCGGTTTAGGATGTACTTATGGTATAGCATGCATGTCGTGGGCACTCGTTTTCTGGTATGCTGGCGTTTTCATTAGAAACGGACAGACAGATGGCGGCAAGGCATTCACCGCTATTTTCTCTGCCATTGTTGGTGGCATGTAAGAATTTTTTTTTTTTTTTTTGGTTTGTGTTTTGCTCTCTCCAATTTGCAAGAAAATGAATAATAAGGCGAAATTGTTTTTTAA